TGCATTTTCAGATTATCTCTGAAAAGCTGATTTCATCTATGCAACACACTTGGGGTCTAGCGGAATTGATTACAGAGATATAGGGTGTGAAAAATCGATATTTTTCAACTTTAGGATTTTTTTTTTCGAAACTATTCATTATTGGTCAAAACGGCTCACATGTCCCTATCTCAACTTTTGATCAACTATCTACTGACATTTAATTGAAACAAATACAGGGTCGTACAGAATTCAGAATCTTGATCACCCGGTATATCTCCCAATTAAATATCAGTAGATAGTCAATCAAAAGTTGAGATAGGGACATGTAAGCCGTTTTGACCAATAATGAATAGTTTCGACAAAAAAATCCTAAAGTTGAAAAATGACAATTTTTCACACCCTATATCTCTGTAATCATTTCTGCTAGATCCCAAGTGTGCTAAATCGATGAATTCAGCTCTTCAGAGAGAATCAGAAAATGCAATAAAATACAGGGTGTTCCATTCAAAATAACAAAGTTGTTGCTACTTTTCGATAGAAGCGGCAACGCTGCAGAGCTGAAACATTATAGATCGATAGACCAAAAGCAACTACGTGAGTAACTGAAATTTCAGAATTAAAATGATCCTATGTCCCGTTCTCCATAAACGTCTAACGTACCATCGACCGTGAGTTACCCTGTATATACCTACCCAAAAAGTGAGAGAAAATATTCTTTAAACTTTGACACCCTGTATATCTTGAAAACCAACCAGGCTATATATGTATATATTGGCAAAACTAGGTTTATTGGGGCATGCATCAAATTGAAAAGAGTACTCTTTAAGTTTGTCCATGCTTTCGGAATATTATATTTCCATCATCAGGGTACTACAACAATTTTCCATTAGGTCACATCAATTATAGTAAGAAGAATTTTCATTTACATCTTTGTTGAGGTTGGTTCACATTAATGTTGATAATGATATAAAATTGTATAAGACGATATAATGACATATAGTTGAGAAGACGAAACAAAAATCAGGATCAATCACAATATATTGTGTGATCCTGCAGCGACTACCCTCTCATATGTATATATATATATACAAATGATAATAATTATAGGTGTACCTATACATTTTTCAATAATTTGCTATTTAGATTTTTGTTGGGTGACAAATAATTCATGAATATACGTTACTCAACAAAGTGAAGCTTAATACATCGTCAACATATCCTTTTCATTGTTATCAAACTATTTTTGGTTTGCTTACATCTCGCCGGCACAAACTACACAATTTTTGATATAAATACGAGTAACTGATTTCATTCTGATGAAGATGCGCACTAAGGGATAGAGCTGCTGAATAGACAATTGAATGGGCATTACACCGGAGAGACCACCACCACCACCACGCAGACTCAACAATGCAAAATCAATATTATATGTCATCAGTGGTGATCGTCACACCATGTTCGAGGAAACCTTTTAACGTGTCATCACCAAATTTGAACGTCATTCTGACGTCATTTCGACGTCAGCCCGACGTCTCAATTCGGTGAGTGAATGACGTCAATAAACGTGAGTAACATGACGTCATTGGGCTGTGACTCATTCACGTCATTTATCACGTCGTACGACGTCAACTTCTGACGTCAGATCATTCAACTGACGTAAAAATACGTCACTGAAACATCATCTGGTAGCCTGATGGGAGCCTGTCTTCCCACATAGAGGTCTGGAGTATGTTCTTGATCAGCTTCAGCCTAGAGAATGATCTTTCTGATAGTCACTGTTGAGGAAAGGTACTACATATTCTCCACGTCACTTCTACATTGGGAAAGCATTATTTCACATTAATCTCCAACATGAGTTGATACGGTTGATACATCCATCATTCGTTACTAATGTTCTTTTCAATTTTATCATATTATTTATATAAAAAACTGGTTGGGAAACTTCATAAACGCATATATTTTATTGTATCGAGTATGCACGTAGAACGTTACTATCTACGATAATGAAACATGACGAGTGAAATTATTTTGTTTTTTGTTTTCGTTGTACGGGCCCCTTTGTGGTGCGGCGGCCTCTAAAGGTGTGCGCCTATGTCGACTATGCTTGAATCCGGCCCTGGATCACTATATATAGCATTTCTACCTGCTTTGTAGCCAAATTGGTTATACATATATCGGGAGAAGCCATCATCAATTCAACTGTTAATAATTGCAATTATGGGCGTGTTTTTCATTCCAACATTTTGTCATGCGCATGAATCGAAGAATCCATCGTAGTGTTGCAAAATTCCGCTGGAATGTTGTTGGAAATCCATCAAACTGTTGTAATAAAATGCGCACTTTCAAATCGCTTTGCGGGAATCCAGCGGTTTGGAGGAGACTGACATGACAATTGACACATTTTACGTATTGTTTCTCGTTGTTAATTGAAAATATGGAGGAATCTTTGAATTTTGAGATTGTTGAGAGATTTGAGAATATGGAGAAATAAGTCTTAATCAATAAAATGGTATCATCCTCTTCTAATTCTGAAGATACATAACGACTGACACACAACGAAATCCTTTTTTCCATCAATGTGTTGTATAATCCATTCTTCCATCGTTCCAGCATAAATTTCATCAGAACAATTGGTGACGTCACGACAAAAAACCGCATCTATCAATGCGCACTTTCTTCGATGGAATGAAAAACACGCCCGCCGTATATATGGTTTCAGTTTGTCATGACGCAATGACTCCATCGATATATCCGTTTAATTGCCCGTAAAGGTACTTCTCAAGTTGTTATCCAGCTGTTATAAAATCCAAAACTTCTGGCTGCCAAGGCGTTCGTTATAGCGATTAATATAGCAAGGGAGGGAAGGTATCCATTTTCTCCCGCGTGTGAAGTTTGATGCACGACGCGTAGCGGAGGGCATTGAACAATGGCTCCGAAGAACAAAAACAACTCCCAATATCCTTCAAAGACCTCTTTGTCACGTCTCAAAAAAACATCCTCATGCCAATATTTTTGAAACATCCCAGGGATACTTCTCAGTAGGCACACAAATACATGCCACAGAAGAACAAATACAATACTTCAATTTTTCCTTCAAAGGCTTAGGAAGTTATATCACGTCTCAAAAAAACATCCTCATGCCAAAATTTTTAAAACATCCCAAAACATCCCAGAGGGATACCTCTCAGTAGGCACACAAAGAAATCCCACAGAAGAACAAAAACAATACTTCAATGTCCCTCAAAGAGGTGTTTGGGATGTTATATCACGTCTCGAAAAAACATCCTCATGCCAACATCCTCAAAACATCCCAGGGATGTTTGTGAACGCATTATTTTTGAAATTATGCTTCATATTATGCGGTCTATTCTCGATCCAAATCAGAATGCATAAGTATGCCATGGACAATAATTGAACGGCATTTGAACGAAAGTCAATTTTGACACTTTGGTCATCATGAATTGATTGATTTTTATATTGTGTAACTGCGTTTGAAAGTTTTGATTAGGAGTACGTTCATATATAATATGAAGAAGCGTATATATCATATCTTTGGAAAAGGATATTGAAGGAAAAGAATAAATCTCAAAATCATCTACACGACATTTAATAGGTGAACAAAGTTATGTTGCAAAAGGGGGACATGTTTCGGGCTTATATAATAAGCCCATCATCATGCAGCCAAGGTTTATAACGTCGTCATGAGGATGAAAAATGTTCTTTGAAGTTGTTGAATATTATTGAATTTAAATGGTAAACACAGTAACATTATAATATAATAAAATAACAGTTATTTTTATTTTGAGAGGGGCATGTACCCTGCTCTAAGATACCATCAGGAGGTTTTCATTGAGTGTTACTTGTTAATTAGTCAAAATATAGTGATATTGAAAACTGATTACTTTGCATTGCACATATTTGATAGTAATATCGATGGCAAAAAGTTTGCATGCTGAGCCTATTTATGGTTTACCTCCCACAAGGGTTCATATTTTTTTCCTCCCGTGGGAGGAAATTGACAACTTTATTGTTTCCTCAAATGAGAGAGCAAAAGCCGACTTATTTCGTTCCAGTGAGTAGATAGAATATTTTTTTGTCTAGAGGCCAATTATCTTCAAATATTCTCTCTACACCGTTGATAAACTCAGTTAAATTGCTGTTTATGAAATACTCAATGTCAAAAAGCCGTGTAATTCGCCATATATCTACTATTTAGTAGATATACGGTAATTGCTCTTCAACTATATCCAACTGATGAGATCCAATAAACAGTATAGTGCAATATAATAGAGACCATCATTTCCATTTTGAAAAAAATCTCAACGAATACAATTTGAAATAATGATTTGAACTATATTTAGAGCAAACTGAGCAAACTCAAGATATGATGTTCAATAAGAAGATATGAGGGCAAATGATATAGGAGAAACTATGAGCGTTATAATGAGGAAAAAGCCATTATAATGAGGGAAAAGTCATTGTAATGAGAAAGAAATCATTATAATGACTGTTCAAAGAAAGGAAAGCTTGCGTGACGACATTTGCCTTCATCAAGAAAAAGATTCATTTAGGCCGAGTTAGGTAGATTGTTTAGGAAAAGTGATCTCACTTTTCATGCAAAACGGATATTCTCCTTCTATCAAATAATTTTACTCATTAGATTTATTCGGGCTATTTACCTACCAATAATCATCATTATTGTTGGTTGTTTCGCTGCAATGCTAAAACGTTTGTCATGCGCTGCGACTCGCTTCTGTACTCGCACTGCAACGTTCCCTCACCACGCGTTGTCCCTTCTGTGGGTTGTCCTTGTTGCGTCCTGTCTGGAAAGTCGTGGCGCTGAGATGTTTTTCCCGCGCTTTTCGTTTGCCAGTTGTCAAGATTTTTATACTTACGTCAAAAAGTCGGCAGATGGTGGATGGGCGCCTGGTTTTATTGTTGTTGATGTAGTTTGGTTTGGCTGTGGTTTAAAACTTAGCCAATTTTTATCATTTGAACAGTGCTAATAAAAAACAAATATGGATTTGCCATACAAAGCTGAATACGCGAAAACTGGCAGAGCTTCATGCAAAGGGTGTAAAAGCCCAATAAGCCAAGGAGAACTGCGTATTGCTGTGCTGGTTCAGGTAATTCATGTTTTTGATTTATCTTGATTAAGGTGACTAACCTATATTCTTTGTTAATAGTTTGATGATCGATCTCAATATTCAAGTTGGTCATTGAATTTGTGTGGAAACTATATCAATCTGGGAACTTATTGACAATTGCATGTATGTTTACTGGTCCACCTAATTCACTGACCAAAATGAAAGTTTTCTGTTTTTATAAGATTTTCGAAAATTCATGCTATTAAACAATATATATAATTACTACCAGCCCAGTAGTAACTACTACCACCCTTATCATCCACATATCCCCCCGTCCATAGGGTAGTTTCTTCTCCTGTTCTTGGAAAAACACTGAAACTAGGTTGAAATACATCTTACTTGCATCTCATGATAGTGTCACGAGTGGCTCTAACGCCCACTATCGCAACTCGGACTTACTCGCTTGCAAGAGGTTTTTTTGAAAAATATAACTAAATAAATTAACTCCACTTCACAAGTTTATTCATTTTGAATAAAAACAATTAGGGCATGAAATAAATTGAACATTAATAATTATCCAGCAAGATAGATCCACTCAAATCGAAGCAAAACAGGAAAACTAAAACTATAGTAATACTCAAAAAAGGTACTTACAGAAGGGCTCGCTTTTCATTAGAGGATTGGAACTGCCACTGACGAAGTTTAGACATGATGCAAAGTTTGAGATTCACTTTCTATTAGAATATTTGAAAAGACTTTACGGTCCACTGTCCGAACCACAACTGCCGGTTTTTTCTCTAATACTTTTTCATCTTGGTTTTGGTAGTGGTAATCGATTCAGCATAAAAACTAGTGTATTCACCTCGATTAGGAAAAATCCAAAACCAGCAGTTTCTGCCCGTCAGCGACTTTACTTGAATAATAATAAAATTGAAATCCGAACTATAATTTCCTCTGAATATCGTAATTCTCTACTGATATCCTGTAAGCTAAATAATTCTAAGAATATGATCTAGACTAGGTTATTGTACTGTTCTTGAATGAAATGAGAATTTCAAACATTCTCAATAAAATTATAGTTTTTATCCATTCTTGACACATTTCCTCCACCTCTGAAAGCGGGCCCCTCGCTTTATGAAAACCTAGGAATCTTAAAATCCCCATTCATACCTAGAAGTGAGAGATAAAAAAACTTATGATCAATAAAACATAGTGGTCAAGTTTCAGAAACAAAGTATTTATCTACCTATCCTGAAAAAAACTTATCATTGAAAAAAATTGATAACAAATTAAAATCAAATTTACTAGAATATCACTGATGAATCTAAAATATGATGAAAAAACTTATTCAGAAAACATCAAACTCATAGAAATCAAAGTTCTAATGTCCAACTATGACTGAGTCCAACACAACATTTGGCAAAAACTTTGTCACTGGCACTAATAATTCATTATTCCGAATACGGTCCTGTTCACTTTTTCCATCAATATGACGAGCAACTATAGGGCTTTCGTCGTCGTGTAGTCTGCTGGGTAGAGTATACACTAGAATCTGTGACACTAGTATACAGGAAACGCTCACGGCCTGGCCACCACCGACCACAGGGATGGTGGTTAGAAGTCCTGGTTAAGGAGTAGTTTCATAGAGAATTCCTGAATCATACCTGGATATCCTTGTGATACCCAGCTGAATAATGCACTGCTTGGTCCGGAATATAAATTTTCGTTGAATTTTGGACGCGGTACAGTCAATGACGGCACTCTATATATGGCAATCGCACGTCCATTGAGTATTTCTTCAGTGAGGTCCATATTCAGCCTTAGTTCTATGGTGCAACAGAATGTCTCAACGAGGATTCTCTAACCGCACCCATGTCTGCAACATTCGTTCTATATATTATGTGAACTTGTATCCTCAGGTGTATCCTCCCATGTAGATCAACAGCAAACCAAATGGCATCTCTTACGAATCCTTCATATCTGCTAATATGAAGCAGCCGGTACTCAGTTCCCAGCTTTTCGTTGGTAGTTGCCTTTCCTGAACCGTCCTCGAAGACCTCGTAAATGTGCAACATGGAACAGTGAACCAGTGGTAGTCCTCCGTATTGCCAGTGAGGGTTGTCGTTTGTTGTGTTGCCTCGCATCAAACAAGTATAGTACATGAAACAAGAGAAACTTTGTATGAATATACTGTATAAAACTTAGTTAAAATATGAATCTATTTATAAGCCTATATATCTACCTAACTATCTATTCGAAATTCAAACAAAATGAGTTATTGTCTCTATTATATATATTCATATTTTTTACAAATTGCCCTACATGCTGAATATCCTATCTTATCTTCTAAAAATGACCTACATTGACAGAAAGCTACTCCATTTTGTTTTGTTTTTTTTTGTTTTTGAATTTTCGTTTGTTTTGACACTAACAAAATCGTTGAATTTCAGAGCAGTGTTTTAACCGATCCCTCTCTTTTTTATATTGGTACCTTATTTATTGTAATGAAAAATTTCGATTTTTGATTTTGTTTTTTCTTTCCGCAAATCTATTTCTTAATGACTTTTTTTTTTCTTCTCCTTGATAGACTCAATTCACATAATATTTGAAACATGCATTACTGAACAATTCAAGAGTAATTTACGTATGTTCTGTTTCCAGAAAAATTATCTATCTACTCAATTTATCAATCATCATTACATATCTGTGCATGCGCATGTCTTCAATCTTTTCATATTCATCTCTTAACATTGCTTTATCATTGTTTCTTGCATTATTATTCTTGACATAATATACTTTTTCTATACTTTGACTGTGTTTAATTGAAATATTCCATGATCATTCTTTATCTTCTTCATATTTTTATTAATAATTCTTTTCCGTTTTCATCCATTTCTAGGTACCTAGCATCACGCATCCTATACATTTAGATAGGTATTCGTGGAATTCATTAGGAAAAGTGATTCAAATAGGCTAGTCCGGGCCCTGGACTCTCGTTGCCAATTTGAATTACCTTGCATTCTTTCTAAATAACTTATTCTTACGCCCATCTTTTTTTTTTTGTCTAGTCATCATTCTTCATTCATACACTTCAACATTCATCATTACTTTCACTCTCTTCATTGTTTATTTTATGTAAAATGCATTTAACGCTCTCGCCTGGTTTTAATTTCAATGCTTGCGAGTCGAGTTCAATGCTGAATTGGTCCATATTAGACGAAGTGGTTCTGGTTGCGGAATTCGTATGTGAAGTATTATTTTTATTATTTCTTTGATTTTTACGAGCGTTGCACCAATTTTTGAAAAAATTTATCAGAACATACCCTATGAGTAAGCTTAATAAGCGAATTTATTATGATCATCTCAGTTTATCGCAAAAATATCATGTACCTACTTTTTTCAAAAAATATATATAAAGAGAGTCGAACTTTACTATACATACTGACGAAAATAAAATTTTGAATCAAACTTAGTTTCCAAATTCATTCCTGTATGAGTACAGACGGTTTTAGCATGCCGAACTGTAAAGCACTACCAAACAAGACCTTACATGGGACGAGTCCTATGTAGAAGCATTTCGGTTTTAGCATGCCGAAATGTGAGCTCGTTTTGGCCAGTGCCTCATTCAAGAATCCTTTCTCTTTCCTTTTTTTTTGTATAATTCCTCGTATAAGTACAGTCGGTTTTAGCATGCCGAACTGTAGCGCACTACCAAACAAGACCTTACATGGGACGAATTCTATGTAGAAGCATTCCGGTTTTAGCATGCCGAAATGTGAGCTCGTTCTGGCCAGTGCCTCATGCGAGAATTCCATGAATCTGCCAAAATTTTGAGTAGGTAACAATTAAATTTCAATTTCATCTCAAGAAATAAGAGTTGAATTAGAAAATAATATTCAATAGTGTGCGATAATAATCCGAATAAATATTTTTTTTCAAAATTGATTTCCGTACTAATTCAACTTTCATTAGTATGAATGATCGGTATGAACATATTGACTGTAACCTCTTATATACCGTATGAATTTTGAAATTGATTTATGCAAGTCGCAACATTTCTACACTGTGGTCTCGTTTTTGGAGACTGATTTCAAGGAAGAAAGACATCTCATATTATAATAATTATAAAATTGTTATTATGTTCACTACTTCTAGTGCTACTTTATCGATAGATTTGATTTTGGAGAAGGAATAATGAAATATAGGTTTCCAAAAATATTCGGGCTTTTTTTTTAAGTACTTATAGAGGATGATCAGCAAAAGGATCACCAACCAGTGGAATATTGGCATAGTTATAGGATGGCAAAATGAAACCAACCAGTTGAACACTCGCAAGGTTCATTTCTCATATCCAGGAATTGAAAGAAATGTTCTTATATCGTTTGAGTAAATCGAATACAATCAATACAAGACCAAAGAAGAATAAATTGGAAATGAAATAATACTTTATATAACATAATGAATTTGTGACAACACGTTTTGTCTAGTAAGCTGCAAAATAAAGTCGTGGAATAAATCCTGGACCTAGCCCAACACTAGGGTTCACTGAAACTAGTATCGCGATACAATGTATAGGCCACGACGTTATGCGTTTCGCATTTATCAGAAAGCTGTTTGATTACTTGACGGAGAAATATTTCGAATTCTTCGAATATTTCGACCCCAAATTTCCGGATTATATGGATGTTTTTTCCAAATGATGGTGAGTTCAGCTCCGCAGAATTTGAAGAAATATTCACTTATTCAAATAAATGACGTGTCGGGGTGCACGTGTTTAATCAATATTTTGTCGAATTTAGCTCAAAAATTATTTGGAAATGCTTCCGCATTTTCACTGTTTCATTCGACTTCATAAGGCCATCAGAGTTACAAGAGAAATTTCAGGTAATCGCAAAAATTTTAATCAGAATTAACTAGTAAGTATTCGAAAAAAGAGAGAGAGAAGATATATTTGGGAAGATGCAAAATGTAGGAAAATGCACGTTAAAAAATAAAAACATCATCAAATACCCCTATAGTTGAATGACCGATGATTCTAT